AAGGACATACCAGACACTGAGGACTGGAAAAGTATGACATTCCCCTTGTTATTCTTATACCCCACACCCTCTTGGTGAACAAGGCGCAGCCATTCCTCACTCCCACCCACCTTCTGGGCCGGCAGGAATTCCACCCCAGTCTGTGTGCTCTGATGGAGCCTGGGTACTCCACCCCAATTTTTCTTTTATTTTTTTTGTTTGTTTGGTTTTGTCTGCTTTAAAATTATTATTATTTTTGTCCCACTTATTATTATTATTCGTTCTTCTTCCCTTCCCAGATTCTAGTTTTTGGCTTTTTCTCTCTTTCCTTTTCCTGGTTCCCATTTTTCTCTTTCTTGTGGTTCTCCCTATTCCTTGTTTTCCTTTTTTGCATTTTTCCCATTTTTTTCTTTATTATTCTCCTACCTACCTCTTTTCTATTTACCTCTCCCCAGATACTGTGGTTTTTTTGTTTGTTTTCCCCTTTTTATATTCATATTTCTTTTGGCTTTTTACAGTATTTCTTTAAAGATCTTCTCTCATTTATTGCCTTTTTTTTTTTTCTTTTTCCTTTTTTTGGTGATTGTTCCTGTGTGTTTATAGGGAAGGTGTTTTTTGTCCTCTTGCTTTTACTTTTTTTATGGTTTTTCGATTGTTGTTTCTGTCTAATTGAGTGGGATACAGCAACTGTCCCCATACCACACAACCACACCCACACTCCTTGCAGCTCCACTTACTGAGAGCCACCACATCCTTCTCCACCAACTGGCCGATAGTACACAACCACCAATAAGATCCTGACTGACCCTTAACTGCTCCTCACAAATATTTAACAGAGATCTGTGCAGCCACTCTCATTCTCTATCACAATTATCAAGAGACAGGTGGTGAGTGCATGTTCTTGTTGTTGTTGTTATGTGCCGTTGAGTCATACCCGACTCATAGCAACCCCTCCTTGGGTTTCCGAGGCAGTATCACTACGGAAGTAGATTGCTCCATCTTCCTTCCGAGGAGTGGCTGGTGGGTTTGAACCGCCAGCCTTCTGGTTAGCAGTCAAGTGCCTTAGGCACTATGCTACCAGAGCTCCTGGTGAGTGCATAAGTGCTACCAACTAGCAAACAGAGGAACGCAGTATTCTGCTTACTTCGATACATCCAAAAAAAAGAAAAGGAAAAGAAAATCTTGGGTGAGTCACTCCAACATACAATCACTGTTGTCTCAGAAGCAACATACCATCACAGTCCACACAAAGAAGCAAGATAAAGCAGTAGAAACAAGGGACCAGGATACAGATCCAGAACACATCCCTGAAGCAACAGCAGCATTGGAACTCCCTGATCAGGAATTCAAAAGACTTATATTTAGGTACCATCAATGGATTGAGAGACAGATCAAGGAAAACACTGACAAAATTAAGGAAAACAGAGACATAACTTTAGAACAATTTCAGAAGAACAAAATGACAAAATAAATTAAAAATAAGAAAGGATATAAAATCTACAGATAGAAATCCAGAAGATTAATACTAAATTTTCACAAATAGATAACATATTGAAAGGGCAAAGGAGGAGAATTGAATCAACAAAAGACAGAATTAATTTGAAAACTAATACCTGAATACTTTGGAAAGGGATCAACCAAAGATCAAAACAAGGAGTTCTGGCAAGATGGCGGACTAGGCAGAAAGATTGCACAGACCCTCTTCAACAAAGAAAAGGGAAACCAATTAATACAGACACAGAAGATAATCTTGGACCCCTGAGCCTTGAAAGGAAGGATATAGAAGTGGACTAAACCCCAACTAGCAGAAAAATTTGCGTGAAAATTCCAAATAAGGAGACATACGGAGGTGCGGTCTGGCAGCGATCCTGAGCGATCCTGATGGCACAGACAGCTTGGAGATTCCTGAGTGGTGGAAGGACCTAAGAATTAACCTAAAAATCAGCCCTGCTAGCCAGGGACTGCACAGAGGTCTGCTCTAGTGGCTGGGGAATAAATGGAGAAGGTGAAGGGAAAGGCGGGCTGAGCTGTGGACTTTTGCCAGTCTGGAGGGTGCCGCCATTTTAAAGGTTTAAAAGCGGCTAGACTATTTTGGATATTTAAAAAGACAACGCTCTCGCAGATTCATGGGGCTTAAGAACACATTCTGCTTTCCAGCAACCCCAAGGACACTCCAGACCTGTAAGACTGAAAAGATTTTTGATGGTTATTCAACTGTAATATGTGTCTAACTGAGTGGGAGACACAACAACAGTCCCCATAAGACACAACTACACCCACACCTCCTCCAACTTCACTTACTGAGTGAGAGCCACCACCTCCTTCTCCACTAACGGGCCAACGATAAAAAACACCAAGAAGAGCCGGAATCACCCTTGGCTGCTCTTCACAAACAATTAACAGAGATCTAAATACAACAATGCCACAATGCCTCAGAGACAACAAACCATCACAGTCCAAACAAAGAAGCAGGATAAAATGGTAGAAACAAGGCAGCAGGATACAGACCCAGAACACATTCCTGAGGAAGCAGCAGCACTGGAACTCTCTCATAAGGAATTCAAAAGAATTATCTTTAGGTATCTTAAAGGACTGAGAAACAGACCAAAGAAAACACAGACAAAACCCTAGAAGAATTTTGGAAGAAAATA